AGAAAGTGTAGTACGAGGCGTACAACATATGGTGTCAGAGTGTCGACAGGTGAGTTTTTGGAGGATTTTGCAGTTAAAACCTTTTTCTTATCTCCGATATATCTCGCAATTCGCTCGTAGCTCTCATTGGCTCATCTCTAATCCTCTAATTTTCTTTTAAGTTTTGAATCTAACTTTCTTGAAATAAATGTTTGACGTTCATAGGTGATTGACAATGTCGACTCAATAGTCAAAGACAACACCATCCGAGCTATTGTGCGTCAACTCATCTCTGAAAGAGTCATGTCAGATTCTGATGGGGAGAAATTGATTGCACAAAGGTACACTCAGTATTCTTCCATTGCAAACTTTACTTCAAAGACTGTTTTTTTCAGAAACGAGCAGCTGAAAATGATTCAGGGACTAGCCTGTCTGACTAGAGACGACGTGCAGCGCCAAACCCAAGTTGCTGTAGTTCTTAGCGCTGTACAAGCTCGGCATGTGATCGATAAGCTGTGGAATATGCAGGTATCACTATTGTGCAAATAGATCACATAAGCTTATTATTCTTGTGGAAATCTAGGAGAAGTTGATGACTGTACTGACACGATTGATTGGAAGTGGAGGCTACGCATTCGATGCCTTCTGTTCCTCATATGGCTTGGAGGGGAATCTGGCAGAAATGAGCAGCAAATTGGCTAGGTATCCATAGTCCAATTCTTTCGATTTTTGTTTGCTTGATGTTTTAGATAATCTGGCTCTTGTTTTCCATCAATCCTTTTCTTAGCCTCAACCTCTTATCTGAATCTCCATCGAATGTATGTGTGGACAGAAATATGACGTTCGATCTCTCTTTCACCATGCTTACGCGAATTGTCTACAAGTACAGTAGCTTGGTATGTCAAATTGCATCAGAATATTCTAGTAGTTCATGAGCATTTGTAGACTTTGGATGAATTGGTCAGAGATCCTCGAGGTGGACCGGATAATACTGCTTGCGCTTTGTAAGTGACTTTCCAAGATCTATTTTCTGAAGCAATTGCTTAATTTCGTGTCTTACAGCTATCAGTGGTCCTCGCGCTATGTAAAAAGAATTTCGCAAAAAAATTTGCAAGATGCTGCAGAGGGTGATATGCCGATATTCTCTCCTGAGTTGAAAGCTGCGTATAAGGACAGGGTTTTGAGACTGAAGGAACGACAGTTGTTTTGGGATCCGCATACGTAAGTTTAAGTTTTCATATTTGATAGCTTATCATTCTAAAAAAATGCTATAGATGCAACTACGGGCAATTACTACATGAAATGCCGATCGTTGGAGAAATCATCTTGGATTATTTCAAGGAAAGGAAACATATTGAAGAAGATGTAGCTGTGAGTTGATCACTTGATTACATTGACATGCTTTGTTGATTGATTTGTATCATTCGTAAAAAAGAAGTTATTTTTGTTTTAGCGCATTTTTGCTGCGTTCCGCAAGGCAAACTGTCTGCTTGTCTGTATTATACAGTGGCTAGAGTGTCAGGTAAGTTGTATTACTTTTTATTTGTTTTTTGTCTATCATATCCTAAGCTGTAAAAGAAATTTCTGTCATTCTATTTTCTTTTTTTATCTCGATTCAAATTTTTCTTATTTATTTCTTCTCAATATCTGCTCTCTTTTAAGTATGTTGTCAGCTTTTGTTTACTTGTTGTGATTGTAGTCCCCATCAGAAGCTCGCCGTCAAATGGCCCGCTGCATTAAAATGGTCCTTGAGGAGAGCGTCCCTGACGAGAAAGAGGAAAAGGACAGGTAAGAATGTTTTGGTTGTTGTGAGCGGTCGTAACCTAATCAAGCTTATCTTCTAAAAATTGTGTCATCACCGATCTTCGGTACATC